CTCGGGCACCATAGACCTCCATTATTTGAATGTCAGCAGACAGCAAGAAGCCTCCCAGATCTCCAGATGCATTTGAGATATCAAAAGTACTCCAGAGTGTTGTTCAGCATGGGGGTGAGTAGAAAATGAAGGCTAATCATGTTTTGGGTGTACTATTCCTTTAATACTTGAGACAATTGATAAGCTTTCTGTTCATCATCCTAAACATGCTAAATAAAGAGAACTGAGTAAAGAAAAAATGACTAAAATGTAAATGAAAGCAGAACTTCTGCATCCAAACACAGCTAACATTTAGGATTTATATCCGGATCTCTGATGCGGTCGGGATCTAAAGAATGACTAACATGAATAAAAGACTTATGGGATTTTATGTTTCTTCCCTTAGACAAGCAAAACTGATGACCTGCAGAATTTAGTAAAGGTTGCAGACCTGTCTGGTGCTTTTTTGCTTCTTAGGTTTGATGAGAACAGGAAGAAGTTCCTCCACGTTCCCAAACTTGTGGAAGCCGTAAACCCCTTTCTCCGGTTGACACTCTGAGACCAGCTGTGGTAATCAATAAAATCAACCATGTAACATGTTCGAGTATTCGTTAACAGCGATGAGGCTGGACAACGGTGAAAATTTCTCACCTTCATGATGTCCACAGAGTTATCCAGTTCAAAAGACACGCAGTGGTTGGAGAACCAGAACAGCAGCTGGAGGCCGTGTCGTGGAAAAGGACGACCAAACCCAGAATTATTGAGGTGCTGGAGGGTGCCGAGCTGCCACACAACCATGGTGACGCCAACATGGACTCTAGCTGATGTTTGCTGCGATAACTTTGAAAACATTAAAGGTGTGGAGCGTTACATCACAGGATTTTAAGAGAAGAGTTTATTCAGGCAGAAACACACTTCTCCCCCTGTTAGTGTAACATGCACCAACAAGGAAGCAACTGATCTGAATTGAAAAATATTCATAATATTAAAAGTAAAACTTTCTAAAAAATACTAAATACATCTGCAAGTACCAGACATCCCACACCAGAGGCCCAGGCAGTGTCAGCCTGCCAGGTGATCAACAGCTTATTAACTGACTGGAAGCAGTAGATAACTGCAGTTTTTGGATTTATATTTGACCATTTTTAAAGAAGACTAGAAAATCTAGAAAATCAGCTATGGAGATCAGATAGAAATTACGTGTCTAATTAAAAAAAACAGTGATATTTCAAATATCTATTTTGGGTATTTTATTGTTTTTTGGTGCCTTATGTATTTGCAGATTTATTCTCTTACACATTACGCTCTTTTTTACATAAACAGTAAAACTGTAAAGTAAGTAAGGAGTTTCATAGTTTTCATAGGTTTGACTTTAATAAACACAGGGCTGTCAACTCTCAAACACTGGGAGTAAGACTGACCCATCTGAGTGTCTTTACACACTCTCACTCCACGTACCCAATTTCTCACACTAAAAAATGACACACATTAAAACTCAACTCTGTTCCACTTATTTATGTATAGAAATACCATGGTGATCAAAATCCAGTCTGCGTTTTTAATACAACCTTAGTGCTAACACACAAGGACCATGTTTGGCTCACAATTTAAATAATTATTGCTCAGTCTAGTTTAATAATCTCCCTTTGGCATTTAGAAATAAATAAACCAATACAATTATTTTAATTCTTAAAGCTTCCAGGTTTGCCTCTCAAACCCATAGGAGGTCCACAAAAAGGAAAAGAATTTTATTTTTCATTTTTTATTTTGCATTTTATTTTTCAAAAGATCAGCCACCCAAGAAAAGACCAACCACATACAGAGAGGATGTGCAGAACAACTCAGTTATCCAGGATTCATAGAGGAGAAACCACAGGGATGTTCTTCTTTTATTATTACTGATCTTATTCATTTATCTTTATTTTGGTCCATTGAATATGTTTAAAAACTTAATTTCCATCACATCTTCCAAACTGAAACATCCAGAGAAGTGCTGTCTCCTGTCATGGGGAGTTTTTATAAAAACCTACAGTTTCCTAGAAGCCTGAATTGTTTAGCCGTTTTGTAAGTTGTAAGAAAAACTAAAAACATAATGAATGAAGATTTTTAATCCTTAGCCTATTACCAAATATTCATATACACAGAGTAGTTTGCCCTGCACTGGCTCCTGTATTAGTGCCAGTAAACCAGTAATAACTTATAGTTCCCCATTGTTTAATTTACTTGAACTGCAGAGAATAATTAAAGAACCAAGTTGTGAAATTCTTAGTTTAAAGTATATTTCAGATGCAAGTATTTTAGTAGGGCTCATTCTGCTTTATTTCAATTCTCTAAAAATCACCAGAATATAGAAAAGAATGTATATTGTGGGAAAAGGTTTAGTCATAAATACAGAATACTTATTGTTACTCAGTAACATTTACTGTGCTATAAAAAAAATCCACATTTTACAGCTTTGTTTCAGTTAAATCCTCTGAAAACTCATCAAATCCTGACAGGGTTTCCTGTCCAAACTATTTCTAAATCTCACCCCCAAGGTTTGGTGAAAAGTTGGCAGCCCTGTAAATAAGTCGTGTATACAGATGAGGTTAAAAAATGAAGAGCGAAATTAATTATATACATTTAAGTAGTCTGTTTTACCGTTTGTTTTGCTCTGTTTCTGTTTTCCCTCGGCTTTCTTCCTTATTTTCGGGGAGGGGACGCTCAGCTGTGCGTCAGCTACGGGCTCGTTCACGACCCCTCCAAACGCGCGTTCAAGTGTGACGGCGTCCGTGCTGCGTCAGTTGCGCGCCTCCACGCTCCCGATGCTCTCCTTTCCCCGACAGCCAGAAGATAGATGTTTCGATTTCAGGTGAGCTTTAACCTTAAATACTTGCCCCAGCTTTACTATGGGGATTAACTTTAGGCTTTTACAGGGGGTTTCTCGAGAGTCTGGTCTGTTTTGGAGTAATATGTCCCGTCCTGCTCTTTGTTTTGTTCTCAATGCGACCAGCGGCCTTTGAAGCAGCGCGCTTTCCTGCGCACCTAGGGAGAGACAGAGAGCTCTCCCCGGCTACCGTTAACCAGAATGAACCGGTGGTTTGGTGGGTCGGCTTCTGCTGTACCGGTCCAGATTCTGAAAGTTATTATGACGACATTTGATGGAGTTGGTTTTATGTGAAAGTTCTCAGTCTGCGTGGTTCCTAGCGTGATGTAACGCCAGTGTTAGCAAAAATGCTAACTGGTCCTGTGTCTGACTGCAGGCTGGCTGGGGGTCGTGAGCATAGCCGGTACCCTGACAGTAATTAGATGTTTTTATTTTTGTTTTTTCTAGGTACACCTCAATTATAGTTATGGTTCGTTAGCAGACATCTGTATAGGAGAGTCAGCCATTATTCTTCAGTACTGGAGGTAAAACTCGTATAAAACCTGCAGAACAAGAGCTTATAAGACTATAGTCTGACAGGAAATTAAAGTCATACAGTTGAGTTTGAGTTATTCTATAGCACCTCTTAGAAAACATGGACGGGATTGGCACATTACTCCCTGCACTCTGCCGCCATCCTTGAAGGATCCCTGGGGAACTGGTGCTTCTCTCCAGAGGTTACTGACAGTCAGTCTGAATAAACTTGGTTAACAGAGAAAATCCATGCAAACACACATCCACACTGTTTATGGCAAATGAAGAACCAAGTTGGGGTTTTTTTTGGACAGAAGTGCCACAGTAACATAAGAGGACACACAGTCCAGGATTTTAACGCAGGGTCCTCCTGCAGCAAGGTGACTGTGCCATTATCCAGCATTCTTTATTTCAGAATATCAGCGATTCGTTTATATATCCCAGAGCGACTAAAATGGACAGGTGTGATCTCCAGGCCCTCAGATGGTTCTACACGAATATCTGGCATGTTTGTTTTGTAGGTGAGAAATTTCCATCTATACATGATGTGAAGGGATCATCTATCACTCAGTTCATTCGAACCATTCATTTCTCAGGTTTTTTTTTCTTTTTCAGGTCAATACTGATTATTTGAACATTAGTTTAACAATCATCAATATGGCTGCAGATTTTTTTTTGTTTTTTGGGCTGATTATAAGGTCAGTGTTGCTTTTATGTTATGCCAATTACGAGACAAAAAGTCACAATGATAACTAAACATTTCAAGAATAGGAAACAGAGGGAGCTGTAGTGTACGTGTCTCATAGGAATCAACTAATGTATCCCCAATGCAGACAGAAGAAAAAAGGGCTAATATTGGCTGGCATTGTATCGGTCTGCCTGTAAAAGAAACCTTTCTTACTAGAAGTAGATGCACATTTGAGTTTATTCTATCGATATTAAATCCAATCAAAGACACACACTTATGTTTGTGCTGCGTCTAGCATTGTGGAAGAACTTGGTCCTGTTTGAAGACGTCAAAAAGCTTCTGGTTTGATTTAGGCTGGATTCTTGATTAGGCTTTAAGATCCAAACTGGGCAGCTAAGAAAACCAAATGATTATCAGAAATATCGGTTTCACCATTTGTAATGTCGGTAACGTTGTTGGGAGCAATTCAAATCTTAGCAATTAATGGTCAGTGTTTTGTTTTTATTTTTATCTTTTTTGTTTTCTTTTTTTCCTACTGAATAAAACCCATAATTTCGTGCCTTACTGCTGCAGCTGGTGGATCAGAGTAAGCGAGTCTCTGATCCTTTACACTAAGTGGAGATGTAAATATTACCTCCAACTGTGATAAAAGATGGAAGGAAAAAGAAAAGCTGAGTGTGATTCATTAGTTAAGGGAAGAGCATATAGGTTTAGCATAGATCAGGGGTAACCAATTAAAAATCAGTGGCGTCTGAATAAAGAAAATCATTAACCAGTAAAGGTCCGGAGACATTTTTAATATAATCTGTTACTTTAATCAGAATTAAACACTGAAATAAAATGAGATTTTTATGCATCCAAGTTATACATTGAATTAAAAAAAGAAGAAAAATTCTATATTAAAATCTAAAGTGTTTTTTTTGAAGTAGAGAACAACAATCTTTCAGTTTGGTATGTAGACAATTTCCTGATTTACATATTTTTTAAAACACCTGAACTGACCTTTTCTTTTTTCTCTTTTTTATGGCCTAATGAGAGCAGTGGGCTTTATGCTGCCCTGCAAGGCTTTAAACCTGCGTTTAAATGGCGACAAAGTCATTCTAAAGCACATGAGGTGCTAATTTTTAGCCTGGATTGATATTTATATTTGATTATGTCTATGGTGGAGAATCGTGCTTCACAGCAGCGGGTTGAGCCAAACATACTCTAAATGTGCAGGGTCATCTTTGAGCACACCATTTCACTTTTCTTTCACCAGTTCACCTCAGTTCTTCCAGTAGTCCACACTTTCTCTGCTCTCTTTTTCTCTTCGTATTCTCCTTCTTTCCCATCGCCCGGCTTGCCACAGGTTTGCCTGTTGTGTCTAAAAGTGGCTCTCAGCAGTGACCCTGACTGGCACAACTCATTGGCTAATTTGTATCACGTGTAGCCTGGTCCTGATGCTGCGGAAGGCTTTACCATATTAGCAGGAGAAGCGGCGCAAATGAATTTAGACGCTGCCGTCGGACAACATGTGGTAATTTCTAAATGTTTTTAAATCAGGTGTGGTCTGGATTAGCCAGCAGTTGGGTCCGGATACGGACCGCGGTCTGCTAATCCGTGACCTCTGGCATAGAATAAATAAAACAACAAAAAACCCTGCTACACAAAAATTCCTGGTGATAACCGTGTTATTAAATCAGCATCAAGAGCTTTTAGCCTGTAGGTAAAGTCACTAAGTGAGACAAGTTCAGGTAGTTTAACATTTTTCTGACCCCAGTTCCAGGAGAAAGAAGATAGGTGAACAGGTGCCTTCAGGCCGAAGCAGCATATTGCAGGTGTATTAGTCGACATTTCAGAGTAAAACTAGTGGCCTCCTTTATTTTGCCTTATCAACCATCCAATATTTTTTGGGCGATATTTTACTTTTTCCCTTAATGATCGCAAACATTTGTTTGCCTATTCATCAGTGCATCCAGCAGCCATGCCTTGAGAGCACATGAAGCGCAGGCATTGCCTCTCCCTCCTTCTGCTAGCTATTGTTAACGTTCTGTTTGACTTGTTAATAAAGGTTCCTTTTGTTTAACTTGAGATGAGGGTGACGTGTATAATCACTGTGGAGAATGAGGAAACTATATCAGCCCAAAAATATCTGCAGCATATATCTGGGATCAGGGCCGTAACTACCATTGAGGACAGCAAGAGCATGTCCTCTGTATCTTTTTATTTATATTTTGCCTAAATTGTAATAAATAAATTACAATGAAACTGTATCTAGGAAATGATCTAGGGCTCCCAAAAAACTGTGAGGTGTTTTATATTTGAAGAGCCAAGAGTACCGCGACTATCTAATAAAAAAAGAAGCTGGAGGGTTTGGTCATACCTGCCGTGCAACCTTAACACTGGTAACTGCCACATAGGCTACAGATGCCGTTAGTGAGTCCGTCAGTCATGGCAGTCACTGGAAGAGGAGCGCATAAAGTTACTACTAATGGTACAGTGCATACACTGTACCATTTTTTATTTTTTGCTTTTTTCGGGCCGACTTTTCAGTCGTGCAAGAATTTTTCGTTCTGGTCAACTTTCAGCTTGGTTGTCCTTTTTTGCGCCACGGGCCGGTTATATGTCAGACAATATTTTCACGGACCGGCCTTTAAAGTGTGGTGGGTGAATACGATCAAATAAAATGATATGACTGGCATAAAATCAAATACAAACAGCATAAAAATAAAACTCACCATTATGTTGAATTAGTGCGAGCCCTGAGCTTGTTTCTCTGAAACAAGCCGGTCCCATATAGGCGTAATCGGAGACAATGACACATGAAGTGTGCTCCTAATATCCAGTCTGCTCCGTAGCTTTGTTTTGGTCGCTTTAACCGCAGAAAATCCCGCTTCACAAAGATAGGATGTTATAGTTAGGATGCTTCTTGACCTGAATTAACCTGTGTCAAGAGGGACAGATGCAAGAATACCCCAATTTTTATATTTTTCAAAATAAAACAACAAAATAAACAACACGGCCTGGTGGTTGGGGACCGCTGGTCAAACATGTTTGAAATACAGTTGGCCGTCATGGTCAAATCGCTCAGTACACAAACAAGGATTCTTCTTCTAACATGAAAACCCAAACGCGTGGTGGGGGTGCGAGTGAAATGCAGTTTTTTCTGTAAAACTATCATGCTGTAGTATCCACGTTTGCTCAGCCATGTCTTTGTCCAAATACATTGTCACCTTTTCTTTTTAGGGCTTTCAGTACACAAAATTGAACAATTTGCCAAAGGCAGCTTGTTTCTCTCTAGGGAGCTGCATATTCCTCTTTTACTCGTTTGGCTTCCGGATGGATGAGTCCGAGTAGCGCCATCTTACTGCAGAGCTGAGTCCTACATGGTTTTTAGATGTACAGTGTGAGCAGGTAGATCGCATAAGGCCACACAGGGTGGGAACGTGCATCGTGAGCTGTAAACTCGCACTGTACGACGAAACCGCAGGGTTTCGTCGTACAGGTTGAGCTGTAGCTGCGTGCAGCGATTGAAAAAATAGCAGAGTGTATGCCCAGCTTAATGCAGGTGGAGAGCAGTTTAAGTTGTTGATGACGGCGAGAAAAACCTTGCATTTTCATGAGGAAATATTTCAGCCCAGTGAGTTATTCAGACAGCAAGGAAACATCGAACAAAAGTTTATTTAACTGTACCGGTCGTCAGTCAATTTCCAGCAGTTGAATGTACATTCATTATGTGATTGATATGTTGGCGACGTCTTGAAAATAAAACGTTTATTTAGCGTTGATTTCTCATTCTTGGATG